AAGGCCCTTGGCTTATCCTCGGAGCTCTCAGGGTTAGCAAGGGGGTGAACCACGTGTACGGTGCGGGCATTGGAGGGGGCAGCCAAGGACGCCCTTTCCAGCCTCTCGGTCTACAACTCCAGGAGGGAGGTGTCTTCCCTTACAGCACGAGGGCTGGGTGGGGAATGCAGGCGGAGTGTGTGTATGTGTGTGTGTGTGTGTGAGCGAGAGAGAGATTGTGTGAATGCCAGTGTGCAAGAGTAACAGAGAGTGTGTAGGGGCAGGGGCGGTCCAGCTGAGACCGCCACCTCCCTGGACCGCAGGTCACGTGTGTGTTTGCAGCAGGTCCGCCGCCCGGAGGCTCATGCACCTGTCACAGCGCCCCGCGGTCTGGGCTGTCACAGCAGGCAGGTTCCCACTTGGGACATGTGACAGGGCCCCTGGGCAGCCTTGCCCGTGCCAGCCTCACTGGGGGCGGGGAGAGGCACAGGAGCCTGGGGTCAGGGCTGCCGGCTCAGGAGAGACAGAGGCTGAGGCCAGACCCAGCATCTCCCCGGCGCTGTGGCTCGGTGGCTGGTGCCAGGGCGACCCTGAGGGAGACCCCAGACCCAGGTCAGCCCCACAGAGGCCGTGAGTCTCGGCCTGCCCTGGGCCCACGGGAGGCCTTGGTGACCTGGGAGCAGGGGCTGCCACAAGGCTCTCCAGGCTGCATCCCGGCCCCGGGACCAGAGGATGGGCTGCCTTCCGGCCATCCCCTGCTGGCCCCAACCAGCAGCCCACAGAGGCCTCATTAGGCTGCAGGCGACTCTGGCTCGATCCTCGGTTCTGCCGTCACAGCCTGCGCAAGTCCCTGGGGGTGGCCATGGGAGCGGCCCCCATGCCAGCCTGACTCCAGCCCTGCGGCCACTCTTACTCTCTCTGGAGTCTCAGGCCCTAGGCCCAGGCCCTGAAGACCATTCCCACCCCACAGAGGCACAGTCTCAGGGGACACAGGGCTACAGGATGGGGCGCTGGGGCAGATACATCAGGCACAGGACAGAGGGACCTGCAGGATGGCAGTGCGACCACCCGCCCCCACCCCCAGTAAAAGCTCAAGGGGCTCCACCCACAAATGCCCGTTATGTCTCCTTCAGGGGCCTGGAGGAAAAAGGGGGCTCTGATTCCGCCGGCTCCAGGCAACCTTTTTGTGCTCCTTGGCTGCCCTCCTTGAGCCCTTGTGAGGGCTGTGGGTAGCGTCCCCTTCCTCTGGTGCAGGGGAGGTCAGACCCTCCCCGCCCCCCCTCCCCCACTGCCCTGGCCCCAGCTGGCTCTCACGTGGCTCCCTTGCCCCAACCCGTCCTGGCAGCCGGGCAGGAGCTGAGGGCTCTCTTCCAGCCCCTCCTCTCCGCCCCCGTCTCTTCCTGGCTCTGGGCTCAGCTGAGGTGTGCGGGCAGGCAGTGCCACTCCGTGCATCTGGGCCCCAGGCGACAGACACGTCCCGCCTGTGTCGCGCCCCTGGACGCGGCCAGCAGCTCCTGCCATGGACAGGTGGTACCCGGGTGAGTCCCCTGAGGCCAGTCCCGCCCACCCCAGGTGTCCTCCATCACTTTCAAGTGCACCCCCCGGCTCCCCAGAGGGGCAGGAGAGCAGAAACCAGGAGCGACGAGGGCGTCTCAGCGTGCAGTCCTGGCCTGCTGGGTACGCGTGCCAAGTGCTCAGCACAGCCTCCTGGGCCTGCTGGCTGTGCAGACTCGATCTACCGGAACTCTGAAGGAGGGCCATGCTGTAAATCCTGGCTCCCCACTTCCCAGCTGCTGGTCTCTGCAGATTATTTGACTTCCTGTGACTGGGCTGTTCTGTATTGTTTCCCTGTTTTATCAGAGACACTAAAAACGCTTCCCTTCCTTCGCAGAGCCATGGTGGCAACGAAAGACTGTTTTTGTAAAGCACAGCTGTGCCTTGCACATAAAGGCTCAGCATGCGGCCATCGGCTTGCTCTCCTGTTGTCACCTCTCGGTCATCTGTCTCTGGCTAGCATCTACCCAGCTATCTTCATCATCTGTCATCATCACCCATCATCTGTGTCATCACCAATCCATCTGCACCTGTTAGCATCTATCTCAATCTGTCTGCCTGTCACCTGTATTGATCATGAATCTATCACCATCATCAATGTGTCTCCATCTAGTGGTTATCTCTCCGTATCTACTGTCTATCATCGGTCACCATCATCATCTATCCATCGTGCCTATCATCTCTCAGTCCATATCTACCTATGATCTGGCATGTCTGTCTGCCTGTCTGTCTGTCTACATCTTTCATCTAACTTTCCACCTGTGCTTCCCTCCTTGTTATTCCAGGAAGCCTCTGTGGTGGCTCCCAGGACAGATGATGCCCACTGAGCTAACGGGATGGCGGGTGACAGGGGCGCCACAGTCAGCTCATGGGATGGTGGGTGACAGGGGCGCCACGTCAGAACTCATGGGATGGTAGGTGACAGGGGCACTACAGTCAGAGCTATTGCGATGGTGTGTGACAGGGGCACCACAGTCAGAGCTCATGGGATGGCGGGTGACAGGGGCACCACAGTCAGAGCTCATGGGATGGCAGGTGACAGGGGCACTACAGTCAGAGCTCATGGGATGGCGGGTGACAGGGGCACCACAGTCAGAGCTCATGGGATGGCGGGTGACAGGGGCGCCACAGTCAGAGCTCATGGGATGGTGTGTGACAGAGGCGCCACTGTCGGAGCTCATGGGATGGCGGGTGACAGGGGCACCACAGTCAGAGCTCATGGGATGGCAGGTGACAGGGGCACCACTGTCGGAGCTCATGGGATGGCGGGTGACAGGGGCACCACAGTCAGAGCTCATGGGATGGTGTGTGACAGGGGCACCACAGTCAGCTCATGGGATGGCGGGTGACAGGGGTGCTCTACCCACGTGAAGAGTGGCAGTAGCTTGAGCTGCGTGGCCTGGAGGAGCCGGGCTTTCTAGCTCGGGGTTTGGTGCTAATCGTAGTACCCACGTGAAGAGTGGCAGTAGCTTGAGCTGCGTGGCCTGGAGGAGCCGGGCTTTCTAGCTCGGGAGCGCGGGCCACCTCCAGGGGCAAAGCGGGTCCCTCAGCCTCCTGCCTTCGGTTCCTCAGGTTTCCCAGGGGAGCGCGGGCCACCTCCAGGGGCAGCTGCAGGCAGCCAGAGAGAGGCAGAGGCAGAGGCAGAGGCAGAGGCAGAGGCAGAGGCAGAGGCAGAGGCAGGCAGAGAGAGAGAGAGAGAGAGAGAGAGAGAGAGAGAGAGGTCTTCCATCTGCTGGTCCACTCCCCAGATGGCTGCAACAGCCAGAGCTGGGCCCATCTGAAGCCAGGAGCCAGGAGCTTCTGCATTCCCTACGCAGGAGCAGGGGTTCCCCAAGGACTTGGGCCATCTTCCACTGCTTTCCCAGGCCATAGCAGAGAGCTGGGTCGGAAGTGGAGCAGCCGGGAATTGAACCGGCGCCCACATGGGATGCCAGCAGTGCAGGCGACGGCTTTACCCGCTACGCCACAGCGCTGGCCCCCAGCCTCAGCTTCTTTACCTATAAATGGCCCCCCAGGGCTAGGGAGCTCTCTGTGGATGTACGAGGGGGCTCCGGATAGACCATAGAGGAAACGGTATCCTAAGATGGTGCGGGTTTTCTGTTGCCTTTTGAAGCCCCCTTGTGCTGCTGACCACCAGCTCTGAAAGCAGAAGAGAGGCGCAGGGGTGTGACAGCCGCCGGCGAGGTCATAGGGTGGTGACCTCCCTCCCTCTGTCTCGCTCACTTATGCTCGTTTTCAGCGGGGAGGGGCTGGGTGTTCGCTGTCCAATGCTTTTGGTGCCTGTGGTTTTTCTGATCAACGCAAGAACAACACTCCCCGTTCCAGCCACATGCTACACCCTTCACATGCCTTATCTCACTCTTCACAACCCTAGGAGCCAGGACTGTGCCCATTGTACAGGTGAGGAGACTGAGGCACAGAGAGCTTCGGCAAGTGCAGGAGCCTTGAAGTCACAGATGGAGCGGCTCCCTTTGGAAGGAGCAAGCTGCCCCAGGTGGACGCTGCCCGCTGGCCTCAGCCCTTTGGGTGCCACTGGGCGTCAGTCTCTTCTGGAGACCAATTCAGATGATTCAAATGGAACAAGGTCTCTGCAGTGCTCACCAAATCCTGGGCACTGGAGTCCCCGAGGAGAGGGAGGTCATGGGAGACATCTGGGAGGGTCGGGGACAGCCCCTGATTTCTGAAGCCCAAGGTCTCTTCATCAGTCTCCCCATTGCTCCTCACGGGCTGTGTGACCTTGGGCAGGGTCCCCAACCTCTCTGTGCCTCTGCTGCACAGGCGCCTACAGTGCCCCAAGGGGAGGGGAGCAGAGCCAGGCTCTGAGGTGTGCAGGGAGGCACTGGCACAGGCAGGGAGACCCTGGGGGGCTCTGGTGGGGCATCTCTGGGAGCCCCTCAGGGAAGCCTTGAGTGCCGGGTAAGGTGCCCCAGTGGTGCAGTCCCGTCCACGGGGTGGGGGGGCTGAGGGGCCTCCCTGGGACCCCCGCCTCTGCCCCCAGAGCTCCAAGTGCAGCACAGGCTGAGCCTTGCGCTTCCCCTTTCCCACAGCTGGCGAGGTGACCCCCGCTGACCCATCCCTGGCCCTTCTCTCTGGAAATTTCCTTTGGGAGGGTTTGGAAACCCAGCCGGCCCCTCCCTCCCCACGCACCTCCTCCCTGCTCTGCGGGAGCCCCTGCGTCCCCACCACAGCTTTTCTTGTGACCAGGGTAAATATTACCTGGCACTGTTAATGTTTAATGCCCGCACCTCGTCCCGGCCACCTGCGGCACACGCAGAGGCGGCAGGAAGCGGCGGAGGAGCCCGGTGGGCTGGGGAGATGGCAGGGGATGACGGTGAGTGTGTGCCTGCCTCGGCTGCGCAGCCGCCCTGAGGACCCCTCTTCCCTCCACGTGCCAGCTCCCTCCCCGAGAACATCTCCTAGCCTGCCTTCACCCCAAAGCCATAGAGCGCGAGTGGCAGAACTGGGGGCAGCAGGTAGAAGCCGGTGTGCACGCAGGCAAGGGGAGCAGGGAGGGCTGGCTGGGGGAGGGGCAGGCCCTCTGGTTAGCCCGGTCCCAGCCCTTCAGGTTCAGGACACACTCCCCAAAGGCATCCCGTGATGAGAAATGACTCAGGCCTGTGCAGACCAAGCGGACACCTGCTGACTGGGTGGCGGGGCAGGGGGGACCGGGCGGGAAGGTCAGCTGTTCTAGAAAAGCCTAGGGTGTGGGGTGGGGGAGGGGCTCTTCAAATGGCTTGAGCAGGGAGTGGTTTCTTGTGGCAGGGAGGGGTGTCCTGGCTTGGGTCTGGCTGTGGCTTTGATGTGAACTCTCGATGTGACCTTGAAAAAGACTTGACCTAGTCTGGGACGATGCCCTTGAGGGGGAAGAGGGCTCCGCAGCCCCCACGGCCTGGCCCTGGCCTCTGGTCCTCCTGACCTGTCAGGCCCTTCAGGACTGGGCACTGACCCCTGCCGGGCGGCTCTCTCTTAGTCCTAAGATGGGCTGCTGGGGACACAGCACAGCCCAGGAGGTGCCCACTGGAGCGGAAGAGCTGGCCAAGGGCGAGCGTGCACCTCGCAGGGTTGGGGGCAGGCCTGCGACCCCTACTGGCTGTGAGTGGCTCTGAGGCGGGGTGGGGAGGCCACAGGGCCAGGGCCAGGCGCCTTTACCTTGAGAGGCCTCCTTCCAGCCTGCCAGGAGGGCTTCTGCTCCTGGGTGCTTTGCCACCTCCTGGTTCAAATCCCAGCCCCACCCCTTGCTCGCTGTGTGACTGCGGGTGAGTCACATGCCCTCTCTGTGCCTCTGTGCTCCTGTGGGTTACAGTGGAGTAGCGGTGAGGCCTCGAGGGGTTGTCAGGGGTTAAACAAGTGGCAAGGACCACCCACGGCTGTCAACATTTCTGACAGCGGTGTGCTGGCTCCGAGCAAGCGGAGCGAGCAAGCAAGCGCGGTGACAAAGGACAGCAGCTCTGACACTAACTGGAAACAGCTCAAGACTCCTGGCTCCACCTGCCCCGGGGACGTTGGCTCGCTTTCCTCCTCTGGGCCTCAGTTTCCTGTTTCTGCTCCATGAACTTGGAGGTTCTGCTTCATTCAGTGATCCCCAGATAGCTGCAGCTTCCTGAGAGACAGGCTGCGGGCGGATGAGCGGGCGGGCGTCTTTCTCAGCCTCGAATCGCCACGCACAAGGAGCAGGAGACCCGGCCCCTCCCTGACGTGCTGCCGGCCCCGCAGCCCCCGTGGATGGGGGTGGCCGGCTGTGTGCCTCCTGCAGGGCACGCGCAGACCCGCTGGCCTCCTCTGCTGGGAGCCTGCCTTTGCCCTCTGCAGGCTTCCGCGGCTGGGAAGGGGAGGAGCGGAAATTCCAAGTTCCCATGCTGGTCACTGCGTAGACTCCCTGCCCCCGCCCCAGCACACCTGTGGCTCTCTTCTCAGGTGGAAGCCCCAAAGGGGAAGAGGACCCATTCCACTATGGTAAGCCTGGGGACCCCACCTCCCCTGCCAGCTGGCTCACAGCCCCTCCCCCTGCCTGTGTCAATGCCCCTTTGCCCCCCATCCCCGCCCCGTTGCCCTGCGGCTGCTGTGGGTGGGTGGCCAGGCGGGCTGCAGGGACAGACTCCATCCCGCCTCTCTTGCCCTCTCTTTGCCCAGACTACGAGACTGTCCGCCAGGGAGGCCTGATCTTCGCTGGCCTGGCCTTCGTCATAGGGCTCATCATCCTCCTCAGTGAGTGGAGGGGGGTGCTGGATGGGGGCGGGTCTCCCCCCAGAGCCACTGAGCACAGCACTGGCTTCCCAGGTCCACTCCCGCCCCAGCACGGCAGGGGGTGTCCAGTGGGATGCCAGGCTGCTTGGACCTTGGACCACAGAGCAAGGTCCACTCTGACTCCTGTGCGCCCTCTAGTGGACCCAGGAGGCGCCGCCGAGATGGGAGGGCTTGAACCTGAGGCATAATGGGGGCGGGGGGGGGGCACCAGCCTGCACCTGAGCCACATCTTAGCCCATTCAGTCCTCTGGGCACCACTGAGGGAGGCCCGACCGCCAGCCTTTTACAATGACAAGGCAGGCCCACCTGAGAGGTACATTAACTGGCCCAGGTGTGTCTGCCTTCTCACAGCCAGGGGCCAGACCCTGCATCGCAAACCCCCAGGGCCCCACTCTGCTAAGTCAGGCTGACCCCTGCTGCCATCCAGAGACTTGGGGGGCCCAACAGTACCTCAGCAAAGGCCATGCGTACATGGGGGCTGTGACAGAGGGTCCCCCAACCTCAGCAGGCACAGGGCAGGAGCTTACTAAATGCTGCTGACTTGTTCTGGCACAACCAAAAGACAAATACACAGACACGTAGCCAAAGGCAAGGAGATGCTGCACACAGCACACACAGCCTTGTGTCCCGGAATCCTAACGCACTACGGCCACTGTGTGGGGGTGGAGGGCACACGAACCCAAGCAGGGGTCCGAGTGGGGCTCGGAGGGGCTTCCTGCCACGTACCTCCCAGTGCTCTGTGCCCGGTGCTGTGAGCGCCTGCACTGTTCCCCGTGGGTCCACTGCAGTGAGCGTTCGAGGGTTCCTTAAATGTTCTGGGTCCGGCCCTATGTGAGGTGACCCCAAGCCCTAAGCCAGTGACGCCGGTGGGTGGTCAGGAGGATGGGGAGAACAGAGGCTGATGACCCCATCTTTCAGAAGTCTGCGAACTTGAATCCCTTTTTCTCCTTTCAAGGCAAAAGATTCCGCTGTGGGGGGCATAAGAAACGCAGGTGAGTGTGCCCGGGGAACCGTGGGGGCGGTCGGGGGTGGGATGAGGATTTTGTCTCTGGGGCTGGGAAGGGGTCCTCAACCTGAGAGTCCCAGCCCCAGCCCTCCCGCCGGCCTCTGACCTGTCTCTGCCCCCCAACCCAGGCAACTCGGTGAAGACGAGCTGTGACAGCAGGTGCGTCGGGGAGGCGGGGGGCTGGGACTGGGCTGGGAGGAAGTCTAGGGCTCATGGTGGGTCGTGGGGTCTGCCACCCGCCATGGGTTTCTGAATGATTGACAAGTGCCTGGGGTGCAGCGCATGACCTAGGGAAGCTGACCGGGGCGGGGGGGGGGGGAACAAACCCCAGCTCCCAGTCCCTCTCCTGCCTCCCTCTTTTCAGACTCAGCTGAGGACCCCCATCTAGGCCGGACCGCTGACCCACCTCCTGTCTGCCAGGCTCAGCCTGATCAATCGTGGTGGGCTTTGCCTCCTGCCCGCACCACCTCCTGCCGGTAATAAAGCTGGCTTCAGAAATGGCCCTTCCCCCGCCTACCTTGTTCCGTAACTGTCTCCAAGCTGGATACAAACACAGCCTCCGTCATCCCTGTGGCCTGTAAAAGCAGTAGCTTGGTGTCACCTGGACCGACAGCAGCCGGGAAGGGGGGTGCTGGGGGGACGGGGGGGGGGGGCGGGGCAGGGCGGGGACAAAAGCCCTGGGCGGCTTCCAGGGCCTGGGGTTTCCCTGAGAGGAGTGACCCAGCCCACCAACCCTGTAGCTGCCTGCGGCCACCACCTATGTTGGGCGCTGCCAGTTCGCCCAGGGTGCCCCAGGGTGGGGGCGCCCCAGGGCGGGGGGCCGGGGGGCCCTGAACCGGATTCTCCCCGCCACCCCCACCCCTCGGGGCCAGGAGACCCCAGCTGAACCCACTCACGCCCACCTGTGGGCCCCCCTCCCCCGTTAAGCTCAGCACCAGAGGCTCAGCAATGGGCACCGAGGGCGAGCCCGTTGTTCCCACGTCTTCCAGGGCCTTGTCCATTCAGGCATCCTCAACCGGCCTCCCCGCCCGGGCCACCCCGCCCTCCAGCCTCCCTCCCTGCCCACAGTGGTCGCCCGGGGGCCCGCGGCGTGGCGGATCCGGGCGCCACCTAGCGTCTGGTTTGCTCACCTGCGTCTGCAGGCATCCGAAGGAAGAGCCCAGGGAAGTTTCTGGGGTTCAAACTTTGCAGGGTGAGTGGGGAGGGGCAGGTGGGCCACCTTTCCTCTTACGAATTACACTCGTGATCCAAGCCCACTGCCCCTGAGCCCTGAAGCCCAGCAACCCACAGAAGGGACACCGGGGAACCCAGGGAGGCCCCAAAGCCATCAGAGCCAGAGCTGGACCGAGTCTGTGGCTCCCCTCATGTGCTCTTCCCAGCACCTTGGCACCGAGGGGCCGGCGGGGGGAGGTGGACTTCCTGGCAGACCACCTGTGCCCCAGGAAGCCTGGGCCAGCAGGGGCCAGCAGGGCAGAGCCTGGCAAGGTCTGTGACGCTTGCTCTGAAGATGGGCTCCCAGATAACACCAATGCCACCGGTCACCCCCAGGCAGTGTTCAGTATTTCTGTATGGGGGACAGATGCACACAGGAGCAGCCGCCAGGGGAGATCAGGAGGGAGGTGGTTCCTCTCCCAGAAACGGGAGGAGCTGCGTCGCAGGCCTGCAGTCCACGTGGGCAAACGTGAGATGGCCGTTCTGGAATGTTCTATTCACCAGCCCACGGAGCCGCCCGCACTCAGAGGGAATTCCAGGGGCTCTGGAGGGGAATGGGTCCTGGGTGAGTCACTTCCCGTGGGTGACCCTGATGCAAACCCCCTGCTGGAGAAACGTGAGACTGCATCGGGTCCTTTTCAAACCTCCAGACCTGCTGGAGAGGCCCCTTGAGGTGGGGTTCGCACAGGAGGAAGCCTGACACGCCCCTAGGGGACCCCTGGGGACAGGTGGGGGGAGGTGTGGCCGACCCCCTTCCCCCAGGACGCTAGGGAACAGTTCCCCTTCTCCCTCCAGGAAGGTCAGGTCGCCTGCAGCTGCTGAACTTTCACTTCCCTTCGGGATTTTCCACAGTTCAGATCTGTACTGAGTCACACTGCGAAGTGATTACGTGAATTGGTCTTAATCATCCAAGAGTTGACAAAAGCAGCCTGGGCCTGAGAGTGCAGTTCCACCTATTGCCACCAGAGGGAGCATGAGGCTTAGTCCGATTCCCTTCCATGGCCGGTTTTCAGCCTGGCCTTGGCCACGGTCCGGGGCACAGGGGTTCCTGCTTGGTCTTCCCAGCGCCCACATTTCCTGGGACAGCCCTGAGTTCTTCTCCTTCCACACGCACAGCCCCTCCCCGCCAAGTCGCAGAACCGTCAAACCCTTAGGTGCAGAGAGGTGCAGGGTGGGAAGGGGAGGCGGGGCCTGGCTGGGGTCCGTGTGCAGATTTGGCCTGAGCTGATGGGCATCGGTGGGTCTCACTCCGGCCCTGGGGGAGACTGGTGTGGAGCCAGAATTGAAAGTCACAGCCTAGCAGGTGGGCGTGGCCCGGCAAAGCAGGAGGACAGCTCCACCGTGTCCCTGCCCACTGCCCAAGAGAGTGCTCTCGGGAGACTAAAGGCCACAAGCTGGCTGCATCAGAGGGCAGCTTGGGGGGAGGGGGGAGCTTTGCCTGCTCATCCTTGGCCAACAGCCTTTCCTCACAACATCCCAGGACAGGAAGACCTGGGGGTGAGGCCCCCAACTCCACACCCACCCCCTCCCCCCGCCGTGGGCAAGAGCTTGGCTGGTGAGCCCCCGTGGTGCCCCGCCCCGTGCATGCTCAGCCCCACTGCCCCGTCTCACCCAGCCTGTGACAGCGCAGGGAGGGCAGAGAAGGTGCTCGAGGGTGGGGCTGGGCGGCCCGAGGCAGGGCCAGCTCCTGCCCAGGTATGGCCCACCCATCCCAGGGATTGGAGGGTGGGGCTGGACAAGCATGGACTCCACAGCTGATCTGCCCGGAAAGAGGGTGCTCCTGCCCTGGCCTCTAATTTCTGCTAGTGCTTTGGGACCTTGGCACAGAGCCTTACCCCACCCTGGCAATCCTGAACCTTCCCCAGTTGGACAAGGAGGGGCCAAAGAATCCCTGCTAGGATCTCCCTGTTCCCACCTCCAGTGGGAGCAGGGCGTGGTGGGTGGGGGTGCTGTGCTGACATTGTAGGGGGTTCGCCCCAGGTCCCCCTGCCACTCCACGCTCCCGGACAGCAGGGCTGCTGCTGGGGAAATCCGTGGCCTTGCTGTGGATCTGTGCCCCAGGATTCCACAGGGCCCTCTGGGCTAGTTCACCAGCTCCTCACCAAGCGCCCATTCCTCATCAGCCGCCTGACCAACTCCTGACCAGGGGAGCGCAGAGGCAGGTGGCATGGCCAGCCTGCCGTGTCACTGCAGCGGGTCACTGGCCGAGAAGATGGATCAGACCCGGGCCTCCCAGCAGGGCCACAGCAGTGCTGTCAGGAGGACAGCGCAGACACCAGGTTGTACTGGGAGAGCCCGGGAGGTGCCCAGGTGTCTCGGCTTTGGGAGAAGCCCATGGCTCAGACCCTGCGCCCCCTCCCGGGTCTGGTGCAGGAGTCTCCCAGCCCGGGACACGCTGGGCGTTTGTGAGTGGAAGGCCTGAGTGCCGGGGAAGAATCCTGCTTAGAGCTTCAACCTTGGATGGAGACGGGAGATGGGGGCACGTGCCTCCCTGATGTGCACGCACCTCCGGCCTGGAAAGCTCTGGAACGAGCTGCGTCCTGGGTGGCAGTGCCCAAACCCTGGCTTCCTGTGACCCCCAGTGACCTCCCGTAGTCCCGCCCCCATTCCTGGAGGCCTTCAGTGGCTCCTGGGGGCTGTCTGTTTCTAGAGCTCAAAACCTGGTTCCCGTTTCAAGAAATTCCCACCTTTGCTTCCCTAACAGGCGTCTTTGGTGTCACTGTGAACACAGGTGTCACAGGTGCGCACACAGGTGCACACAGCATGAGGGAGGGGCAGGGGGGCAAGTGGTTCTGAGCTGGACCAGCAAGCTGTGGAAGGGGGAACTCACTTCCCTGCTGTGTGACCTTGGGCTCTGTCTCTAAACTTGGCTTTGGGAAAAACACAAGACTGAAAGTTCCAAACTTCAGCTTAAACTCAAGGGGTTGTGACTGCTAAGGGATGGAGGTGGCCGGGAAGCCATCGCCAAGCCTCTTGCTCGGACCTGACCAGAGAACTGGGTGCAGGCACTGACACACGCCCCCCTAGGTGCATGCTGGCTGCCCCCTGGTGGTGGGAGCAGCCACAGCAGGCAAGTGCAGAGGCAGAGGGACACATGTGACAAGGCACCGGGATGAGCCCGCCTTGGCCGGGCGGGAGCCAGGAGACTGTGGAATTCTCTCGGGGTCTTTGTTTCCAGAGAGGGCTATCAATCAGTAGCCAAGTACGTGCCTGGCGCAGCTGCCTGGAGCTCTGAAGTAAATACAATTTCAGGTTCATGTCCGCGGACCAAACACTCTCCCTGCAGGTAAGGAAATCACTCAGGGAGCCAGTGGACAGATGCTTTCTCTGTCTTTCGTCTCTCTCTCTCTCTGCCTTTCAATTATAAACAAATAAACATTTTTTAAAAAGTCACCTGGGGGAGGGGTCTGCGCTGTAGCGCAGCACGCTAAGCCTCTGCCTGTGGCATGGGCATCTCATTTGGGCACCAGTTCAAGTCCTGGCTGCTCCTCTTCCAATCCAGCTCCCTGCTATGGCCTGGGAAAGCAGTGGAAGATGGCCCAAGTGCTTGGGCCCTTGCATCCATATCGGGGACCTGGAAGAAGCTCCTGGCTCCTGGCTCCGGACTGGCCCAGCCCTGGCCATTGCAGCCATCTGGGGAGTGGACCAGCAGATGGAAGACCTGTCTCTCTGTCTCTTCCTTTCTATAATTCTGCCTCTCAAATAAATAAATAAATAAATATTTTAAAAAATTCATTCTGAAATGGCCTTGAGCCCTCCGATGCCCACCTGGATAGACCTGTGCTATCCCAGGACCTGTCCCCACCAGCCTTCCCTGGCACCCTGGGGACAAGCCAGGGGACCCGCATCTCCCTGGCTCTCCCTGAACGTCTGCACCTGGCATCCACCACCAGCCCTTGGTGCTGCGCCCTTATTTGGTGAAGTGGCTCCAGGGCGGGATGGAACTGCTGTCCCCTGTCCCATCTGCATTCTCCTTCAAGGGCAGTCTGGGAAGGGCCAGCATCTTCCCCGCTCCACTCTGCAGGGACCCATGTGTGCTGTGCCCTCTGCAGAGTGCATCTGGTCCTGCCACCATGGTCTCCTGCAGACTGTTGTTGGGTACAGAGTCTGGGCAGGTGGCTGGGCTTGTGTGCTGTGCTCCAACATAGACCGGTCTGGTGGCAACTGTCATTTCTCCCCTGTGTCACGGTTAAGATCGCAGGCCTTGGAACCTGGGGTCTTGGATTTTAACCTCGACATGGTCATGTGTGAATTGTGTGCCTATTGGCAAGCTCCCTCTGAACCTCAGTTTCCCCACATGGAGAAACCTTTCCAGCTTGAGACCAGTCTTCAGTGGACAGTGGCTGCAAGGCAGCCACGGGTCTCAGCCACACAGTCCAGAGCACCACGTCAGCCACACCAAAGGCTTGGCCCGGCCTACCCTTGTACAGGTGCCTGCTGCCCTGGAATCCCCTGCCAGCTCAGACGTGGGTGCCCACTTCCCCTGAGCGGAAGGGACAGTGACCCAAGGCTGCTGTGCTGGGACCAGGGAGCACTAGTGAAAAAGAGCTCTTGGGGCCGGCGCCGAGGCTCACTTGGTTAATCCTCCGCCTGTGGCGCCAGCATCCCATATGGGCACTGTGTTCTAGTCCCAGTTGCTCCTCTTCCAGTCCAGCTCTCTGCTGTGGCCCGGGAGGGCAGTGGAGGATGGCCCACATGCTTGGGCCCTGCACTCGCATGGGAGACCAGGAGAAGCACCTGGCTCCTGGCTTCAGATTGGCGCAGCACCGGCCATGGCAGCCATTTTGGGGGTAAACCAACGGAAGAAAGACCTTTCTCTCTGTCTCTCTCTGTCTATAACTCTACCTGTAAAAAAAAAAAAAAGAGCTCTTGGCCGGCGCTACGGCTCACTAGGCTAATCCTCCGCCTGTGGCACCAGCACACTGGGTTCTAGTCCCGGTTGGGGTGCCAGATTCTGTCCCAGTTGCTCCTCTTCCAGTCCAGCTCTCTGATGTGGCCTGGGAAGGCAGTGGAGGATGGCCCAAGTGCTTGGGCCCTGCACCCACATGGGAGACCAGGAGGAAGCACCTGGCTCGTGGCTTTGGATTGGCGCAGTGCACCGGCCGTGGTGGCCATTTGGAGGGTGAACCAGCAGAAGGAAGACCTTTCTCTAACTCTGCCTGTCCAAAAAAAAAAAAAAAAAGGAGCTTTGATTTGGATTTTCTGTGTGTGCATGTTTGAGCATGCGTGGGGTAATGCATGCGTGTGCACGTGTGTACGTTGTGTGTGCATGTGTGCATGCATGTGTGTTGCTGGTTGTGTTGGAACCAGGAGAGGAGCCAGGGAAAGCCAGGTACAAGAGGGATGCCTGCGTGATGTCGGCCCCAGCCCGCCCACCTGGGCTGAGAATGAGAGGCCCCGGCGCGTCACCTCCAGTAGTTCATAGAGGCCCACAGAGGCCTTGGCCAGGGGCCAGGAGTGAAGCTGGACTTAGGGTGAGGACGGCCAACGGGGTTGGGCATTTGAACTAGGGCCGCTCTGGCGCTGCCTTCCCGGCCAAGGGCACTAGGGGGAGCCAGACAACCAAGTTCCCTGCGCCGAGGCCTGGGACTTAGGGGCAGCCGGCCGCGGGCGCGGTGGCAGGGCTGGCCGGGCTCCCGGGAGAGCAGAGCCACGCGCAGGGGCCGCGCGGAGTGGGCGAGGCGGCCCGGTTCTCCCTGGGTCACTCCTGCCAGGGGGTGCAGGTGTGACGGCGGTTGTTCCGGGTCACCCGTGGGGGATCTGTCCTCGCCGCCCTGGAACTCTTCCCAGATCCAAGCCTTTCCCCACAGGGGCCGAAAACACTGTCCTTGGCCTGCTCAAATGGCAGTGGAGATGAGGGGGAGCGGGCGCGGCGCGGCGAGGGCGGGAGTGGGGGCGGGGGGCGGCCGCGGCAGCTCCCTCAGTGTCTAAACCCTTGGGGTGGGGGGCTATCGTACACGCGTCCCCGGCAGACGGGAGTGAGCTGCGTGTGTTCCTGAGTGTGAGCAGGACACGGGAGTGGAAACCTCCATTTCCTTCTGTGAAGCGAGAGTGTGGATGCCCGTCTGGCCGTGGGGGGCTTTATGTGCGCATGCTTTGAGGCTGCTAAGCTCCGCTCCTCAACTCGGAGTACAGCCTGAAACTGACGTTTCTAAGGGGAACCCCTGCAGGTGAGCTTTGTTCCGCTTCTGCAAGTCCAGCTGGACCTAGCATTGAGCGTTAATTCCCTCCATGGAGTAGCCCCAACCCTGGCCCGGAGGTTTCTGGTACTCAGTCTCTGAGTGACACCTGCTGGCCCTATCAGGTACTGCATCCCCTCTAGCCCAACAACTCGGAGGAGGAAACTTGTCTTGGACAATCACCCTGCCAGACGGCTGTTACGTACCCATTGCTGCAGATGTGAAAGGTGAGACCTACGAGGCACAGTTATCCTCTGATTCCAGGTGCTTCAAATCCCTCCCACCTGCACTTCTTTCTCTGTTCCGTCTGGGGCAGCTGAGATCCCTGTTCATCACCTTGATTTAGAGACCAGGATTAGGGTCATGGCCAGCGTTGGAGTTCAGGATTGAACTCATGGAGGAAGATTTCTCATCCACGTGGCAACAGCTCTGCCAGGCAGAGAGCCCCGGTGCCTGGGTGTTTCCCAACTCTAGATAGACTGAGCGCGGTTTCCGCTATAGAGAGAAGGGCACTCAGGGAGGCCGGGCAGCCCTGTGAGGTGAAGGCTTGAGAACCAGGCTGCCACATGAACCAGTTGCATCTCGGCCGCCAGTGCAGCTGTTTGGGGTGAGGCCAGCCTGAAACCTGCTGGGGGGAGGGGAGGGCCGGGGCTGTGCCTGGCCCAGGGAGGCCCTCCGTCAGGACAGTGCCAACGGCTGTGGCTGAGAGTGGGCCTTTGGCCTTATCATTTAGAGAAGTGTGTACGTAGATGCCCTGGGGGAAATTACACAATTACGGGGGGGTGGGGGAGCTGGCTTCTGACACATCCGGGAGTGGAAGGGCGTGGACGCAACAGGCCTTCAGTGAACAATTGCTGCATCTGGTGAATGGGTGCATCACCGTTCATCCTACTCTTCCCTCTCCCTTGCTATATTTGAAATGTTCCCTGTTCCCTTTTTAAAAAGTACCAGCTGGGCAGGCATTTTGTCCAACAGTTCCAGTACTGGGAACACCCACAACCCTTGTCAGAGTGCTGGAGTTTGAGTCTTGGTTCCACTTCCGGTTCTAGCTTCCCGCTTATGCACACCCTCGGAAGCGGCAGGCGACAGCTCAAGTAGTTAGGTCCCTGCCCCCCATGTGGGAGACCTGGACGGGGCTCCTGGCGTCAGCCTGGCCCAGCCCCAGCCACTGCAGCCATTCAGGGAGTAAACCAGTGAGTGGGGGCTCTCTGAGTTTTCCTTCTCCTCTCTCTCTCTCTCTTCTCTGCCTCTCAGATAAATAGCTAATACCTTTGAAAAAGGCAACCGTGAAAACACTACCAGCACACACATCTGATGCAGAGTGCAGACCCTGCAGCCAGGCGGCTGGGCTGGATCCTCTGACCCCCCGTCGCTGTGGAGTTGGCTGAGTTAGGTCATTTCTCCGTGCCCCCATGTCCTTGTCTGTTAGCCATGATGCTAATGACACCAGCTGCACACGGGCGATGGAGGCGTGGTTGGGGCTGAGCCGCTGGAGCACTTGCAGGGCGCTGGCCTTCAGAGGCCATGGCTATGCTTGTGATTGGCTGATCCAGCTCAGTGCTCCGGGCTCTGACTGAGGAGTCTTCAGAGACCCGGCCCTGAGCTGCCCTGGGCTTGGAGGGGTCTCGGGTGGGTAGAGCCAGACCTTCCTGGCGCCCCACAGGGGCCCCTGTTCCTCACACCTGCTGGGGCCTCTTCCCTGTGGCTCTGCTGGCCTGGGCTTCCCACCCCTGAAGCCCAGCTTCCTACCTCCTACTGGGTTTCTGCCGACAGCTCCTTTCTCTGAGCTCGGGCAGCTCTCTCCATTCTCATCAAACCCCAGCACTAGATGAGGTTAAAAGCCACGGAACCCACCCAGGCCGTCATGCCTTTGTCTGACAAATACCCACCAAGGGCCTCCCCAGGGCCCAGCCCCTGCCTGGGTGCAGAGGAGGGAGGGGGCGCAAGGCAGGCACAATGGGTGGGTAAAGAGCATGGACAGCCTGACCCAGACAGAGGCAGCCTTGCCTCTGAGTGACCCGGGGTGCCCTGCACCTGCCAGCCGCCGTGCCTCCGCCATGGCACCGGGTCTGCACCTGCTCTGGCCTTCTGGCCCTGTGTCTCGCTGAGCACTGTCCGCACTGGGGTGCAGGCTCCCTGAGGATCGGAGCCGCACGTGTTGGGCTTTCTAGGGATCCCGGGATAATTTGTACAGGGCTGGGGACAAACTTGGAAGAATGAGTGACCAACGTGCTATGCCTCCTCTAGGTCAAGTGGGGCCAGGAGCAAAAGGACAGCGTGTTTAGAGCGAGAGAAGTGAGAAACTGATTATTCCCAAACACCTGACGCCATCCCCGCCACTCAGAGATTCACCACGCCCATGTGTTTACGGCTCTGGCACGAAACCTATGTACCTTTGGTTTTCCCAGTGTTTTCTGAGCCTGTTTGACCATGAATTCATTCCCCGCCCCCGTTACCTGCTCATGAAGCACTGAGGAAATGTCATATTAGATCTTTCTGCTTTTAGGCCT